GCCGCCCCCCGCGCCGCCACCGCCGCCGCCACGGTACGGCCACTTGGCGCGCTCCAGGCCGGCGTAGTCGCGAAAGGCCACCTCCCGCACGGGCTGGACGTGCGGCGCCAGGTTGGACGAGTAGGGGAAAGTCATCTGGCAGGAGGACGGCTGCGAGAGGAACGACGGCTTGCTGGCGAAGTCCGACGGGGCCACGTAGTAGGCGCAGCCCGGCAGGTACATGCTGGCTGCGCTCGGGCCGCACTCGTCAAAGTCGTTCATGGCTGCGCGGCGTGCACGCCGGCAAGCCTCGGGCCGCTCCCCGCGCCTCCAACCTGAGCCATCGATTGCACAAGAGGCTTGGGCCAGGATCAACTAAGCAAAAATCCCCACCGGGCGCTGACGTGCAATTCATCTTGATTGATTCTGGTGGTAATTATGTCACGTGACGCCATGGAGAGAAATGTCCTTATATCTATATCAGCGCTCGCCAACACGCCCCGGGACGGCTCCTGGCGCCGAGACGCGCGCACGCTGGGGGCGGATCGGTCTCCAGCTCCTGCCAGCTCTCCCAGGGCACTCCCTGACCAGGCTGCGCTGCAGGCCGGTCACCTGCGCGCCGCCGGCGGCTGCCACCGCTGGGTGCATCTGCCGCCACCGGACTGGGCCGCCCGCCCGCCTTAGCCCGCCCGCGCTGCTTTAAGTACCCGGACCTAGGCCGGAGGGGAGGAGGAGGGAGGGAGAAGGAGGGGGAGGAAGGGGGAAGGGAGAGCAGCGGAGAGCGGTGGGGGGAGCCCCGGCCCTGGCACAGGGGACTAGGTGTGAGGGTGTGAGGTTCCCACCCCCACCCCACCTTTCCTGCAGCCGCTCCCTCCCCCGCGACGCAGCCACCCTCTGTAGCTCACCGGCTGGGAGCTTGTTGCTTCTTGTTCAAGGGGCGTAATTGCGACACTCTCCAGGGCGCAGAGAGCCCTGATTTACATATTTCTCTGCGGAGAGCGTTCCGGCTGGTAGCGATTTGACTCTCCGGGGTTCGGATACCAGGGACAGGAGAGCAGACCCTGGAGAAACCCCTTCTCGGGCGCTAGGCTTGGCCTGGGCCTCGGTGCCCACTCCGCCCTTTCTCTTCCAGAATATTCCGCCTGGTCCCCATCCCTCCTTTCTTTCTTATTCTTCACTAGTCGCCTTTCTCTCTCCTGTCTTCCTCTTTATTCCTTTCATCGCCTCGGTCTCGGACTGGCTTTCTCTCCTTTCCCCAGTCTTTCTCGGTCCCCTCATCCTTTTTACTGTTCTCTCTCTCTCTTTCTCTCTCTCTCTCTCTCTCTCTCTCTCTCTCTCTCTCTCTCTCTCTCCCCTGAGCCAACGTGGACACCCGGAGGCCCCGGCTTCCTTGCTTTCCTTAAAGCTCGGGGGTCTGATGAACAAAAGAAAGTGAAGTCCCCTACCCTCACAGGCACCAGAGCCCTACTCACCGCCCACAGACAAGCCCTTGGTGTTTCAGCCTTCCTCACCCTCTTCTGTGTTCAGGTCCCTCAGACCTTTCACTGGGTTGGAGCCCCGCTAAGGCCTGAGCAATTTCGTGCCGTACACCCAAGACTCTCTGGAGCCCCTGGGTTTGATGGTCACAACTTCCGTGGAGATCGGTTGGCTCTCCAGGGGCTCTCTGTAGCTTCTGCCTCCCCGCTGGAATCTACCACCTGGCTCCGACCTAGACTTTTCAGGCCCGCATCCACTTGCTCCAAGGCCTCCCTCTCTCCCAGCTGCAGCAACCCTCTGCGCCCTGGAGTCCAGAAGAGGCCTGGACTCCCACCTCCAGCTTACCGGGCCCCTAGTCTCTCCCCAAATCCAAATCCCAACACCAAGGGCAGCAGCCTGTCTCCTTTCTCAGTATTCTTCTTCCCAGGAAACCCCGCACAGAGGCCCTATGCCCTGGCTAGGCCGCTCTGGCTGTGTGCTGGTCCCCTCCCCTTCCCCAGGCCGCTACGGTTCGGGTCCAGCGCTCTCTGTGCACCAAGCCGACTGACAGAGAAGAGGCGAGTGGTCGGAGTGGATATCTATTTTCTCGCTGATGTCGCCCCTTCCTCTTTTTCTCCTCCCTCCTTCTCCATTCCTCTCTTTCCTCCGCCCCCTCCCACGTCTGCTTCCCCCCCCTTCCCCCAACATTGCGCCAACAGGTCTGTGGCAGTGATGACTGGAGCTCACCAAGCTTTCTCTCACCCAGCTGTGCATCCTATGTGACCCCTCCCTGCATCTCCCACCCCCACCCAGGTCCCTGCTGCCACCATTCTCCTAGCCCAGACCCCCCCCCCCGCGCCCCATACCGCATTTTTTATCTATCTTCCTATCTCCATCCTAGTCCTAAGTCTCTCCCTTTCTGACTCCTGGTCGACGCCCCTGGATCTGTCTCCTAAAATGGCTCCCCAGACACTGCACAGTGTTCCTGGGGTCGCTTAGGACGGGAGGCAGCGGCGGGGGCCCCCCAATCTTTGCACGTCTTAGGATGCAAAAAATTTCCCGCACCTTCCCTCTGCTCACCCCACCGAGTGGGTTGTAAGGCACACCGTCACCCCTAAAGTGAAGTCTGCTGGCCGCCGAAAAGGGAAATGGAGAGGACGAACCATTCAAGTTCAACGACATGGCGACGGCGGCTCCGGCGGGAGCCGTGCTTTGGCAGGGGAGGGTGCGCCATCTGCAGCGGCGCGCTGGCGCATTGGGGAAGGGGCGATGCAACCCCCCCCTCCGCGCGCCTTAACGTGCAAGTCGCCCCCCACACAGCACCCAGAGCATTCATTCATGGCCCAGACTGCTTGGCTCTTTGGCCCCAGCTCTCTGCTGCCCTGGTCCCCACCCGGAAAACACACACACACACACAACAACAACAACAACAGGAACATCCACAGCCGTTGGACCCGCGCGTTTCGCCAGAGAACCTACCGTGAAGACCCGGGTTGTGTCCTCGTCCTTGCTTAAGGAGTCCTACCCGAACCACAGGGAGCACACGCGGCCTTCGGGGCTCGGCCAGCAGCTCCGAGAACGATAGCTTTCTGCGCAGCGCGTAGACGCGATGCGGTAATTTTGAGCCACCCAAGATAAGACACTAACTTGACCTTAACTTTGTCAGGGCGCCCCTGGTATCTGGAGAACGTGAACAGACACTGTCTGGCAGCTCTCGTAAAAGCTGACTGGGAAAGGGATTCTGAGTCATTTCATTTATTACCACTACAGTTCTGCAAGAAAGCTTTTCCTCCCTGCCAAACTTTAATTATTTATGCTCTTTTAGGAAACGAAAGAAGAGAAAAGCAGGGGAGGTGGTGGTGTGTGGGGGGAACACCCAGAGCCAGTCCCTTCCCCGCAGAGCCTTCGGAAAAGATTTCTTAAGTAGAGACTGGAAAACAAAACAAAACAAAACAAAAAATGTGAGGAGATCACCTTTGTCCAAGGACGGTCAGACGGGTGCTGTGCCCCCCACCACCACGGAGGGGAGTGGACGCAGCTGAAAGAGGCCAGTGATGGGGCACACCTCCCTCCCCCACCACCAGACATGAATATTTACAACGATTCTGGATTTCTCCTCCACTAGCTCGCGTCCAGGAAGCCTCCCTAGCCTGCCTCCCAAGGGGAGAACCCTGGGGCCTTAAAAGCTTCCCCCCTTCAGCTTTCAGAGCCATCAACGGATTGAACAGCAGAATAAACCGTTCTTTCTCATTTTAAAACCTCTTTCTTGGTCAAGAGGCCGCGTGGACTGCAGCGGTTCAGAAGAAGCATTTATGTTTCTACGAGGGAATGTTGAGCAATCAGATTTCAGTATCATTTTTTTTTTTCTGGCATTTGTTTCTCATCCTGGTTCCAAATTTCTGCCAGTACTTCAGCTAGGGAAGGAGACATCCGTGGTCTTTGAATTTGTGTGGATCAGTCAAGGGGATGCATTTTGGAAAACACCGCTGGACCGACAGATAAGATTTTATATTTAGGCTAATTTTCTTCTGGAGCTGGCCTCTGGGAATATTCTCCTCCATCCCAGACTACAGAGAAGAAACGTGATGCTTTAGTGTTGTATCTATCTAGGAAATGAGCCTGCATGTTTTGTTTTGGGGCCTGGGTCTGAGTAAGTCTGATTTCTTCTTCCTTTCTCAGCCCTCTGGACTCAAGGTCTCAGCACTAAGGTCTGCCTTTGTTCAGTTGTTTTCAAGGAGAAAAACCTCTCAATACAGACTTGGACTCCAGAAACCTGGCTCAGTACCGCTCTTTCCTTGCTTATTCAGATGCAGAAACATTCTATCTACAGGACCTTCTTCTTTCTTACCTTGCAATTGTTGTGTGCAAATTTTTTAATTGAAAAATATTTTATGTATAAATCAAATTTGTTTCCCAGGAAGGGAATTGGAACATTGACTATTCAGTATTAGAGATGCATTGGTCTTGGTTATTATTCTTCCTCAAATTAAAAGCTAGTTTCTACGTCCCTGAGTTAGGAGCCCGGGTTTTCAAAGGGATCAGTATCAAGCAGGCCCTGGCTTTACTTGACTGAGCTCCAGGCTCCAGAGGCATAGGGTGGAATTCCCAAGGGAGCCTGCTGAACTCCTGGTGCAGTTGCCTAGGGGATCTTTCTAGGACGTGGCTTGGTCCTGAAAAGGCTGACCAAAATTTGGCAGAGAGATGTTTTGTTTTGAAATCTGAGGAGTCTCAAATCTTGACTTCCCCCACCAATAATAGCAAGCTTTCGCGGGTTTGAGAATTTAGGCAAAATGGAGAATCCTCAATCTACAAACTCAGAGTTTTCTTTGTGTTTGAGATACACTCACATCTGCCCAGGGACTTCCCCACTTTGGATATTTCACACATATTCTGTCCATAGTTTTTTGTAACTGTTTCCTGACTGCCTCGGAAGCCATTTTCTCATTTAATGAACAGCGAACACCAGAGTTTAGACAACAAGCAGAGAAAGGCCAAAATGATTGGGAGGCCTGCAAAACAACAAAAGAATCCAAAGCGTCTTCTAAAATGAACATCAGCCCCCTCACAATGTGGCTGGGACCTGGATATTTATTTTCACTATGCAGCTAATATATACAAGGAAATGTTACTTTACATAATCAGAACAAAATGTCCACGGCAACTGTTAGCATAGAAAAATGATATTATTTAAAACACCAGCTGAGGTCAGTTGGGGTGAGGCTCAAGGGTCCTTGTGAGATGGCCTGTGAGGTCCAGATCCTGGACCTTCACTAAAGAACAGCCATTGGACTTTGGGAAGGAATCACGAGCCCTTAGGATGTTGTGGATCTTGCTAGGGGGTGGGGGGTGGGGCCTAAAGCGCAAAAGAAGAGGCAAAGTGTGTGTGTGTGTGTGTGTGTGTGTGTGTGTGTGTGTGTGTGTGTGTGTGTGACGGGTTGTGTTCACTGAGATTAAGGCTGGATGGATTCTGTAACAAATGTAGAACAATTCCATCAGAATTTCCATTCAGAAAACCTAGGTTCCTCAAGGTAAACCTGGCAGGACTCAGGGCCTTAAAAGCTTTACAAGAGCTGGCCACAAAGTGTCTCAGAGAAAGGGTTCAGTGACTGACTGAGCTTTGATGGAATTGCTGGGTGGTAGAGAGGTTGGGAGGAGAAATTCTGATTCTTTCTGCCTTCCAAGAGCAGCAACCACAGACTGAGAATCTGAGGTCTCTTCTCCCACCCCCAGACTTCACAAGGAGGCTTTTCCCCCTCTCTCTCTTCTTGTGGTGACATTAAGGTAATTCAAGAAAGACATGTGGACACTGCCATCCATTCCAGAAGGAAGTCATAGTTGCAGCATGCTGAGGGAATCTCCTCCCTCCTTCCCTCCCTCCTCTTCCCTGTGCAGCCAAGCCTCAAAACAGGCCAGCAGCTCCCCTCACCACAGTTCAGTCCTAGGGCTCCAGTTACAGAGTGCATGGTCTTGGCTCAGGGAGAGATGAGGTTGGGTTAGGGGAATCCTGCCAGTCTTGTCTGGAGATTGTAATTTGTTCTGGAACCCCAATTTCTCTCTCCTATCTCCGAGGAGGACACCTTCCAGCATATTCTACCCAGCAGGGAAGCCTTCGTAGAGCTGAGATTCCAAGGTATCCCCCACCCCCCCAAATCCTTCAGGACAGATGGGGGCTGTCGTGATATCAGGCCCTTTCCTTCCTTGAGACTGCACAGCTTGGCTTTGTCTCAAAAGGCCTCCGCTGCAAAGACGCTGGAGTTATCCTCAGCCCTTTCCTCTGCAATGGGGTCTCAGGGCCTTCCTATACGCTCTTCTACTCCGAGCTCTAGCTAGCTCCTGTTACATGCAGAAAGAGCTGGACAGAGAAAGAAAAAGAAAACTAACAGGTTGGAAACTGAAAAACCCAAATACAATGATTCACTAATAAGCCCTGGATGTAAACACCACAGACAACAAGGGCAGGTGACCCCAAGCCCCACGCTGAATGCATAAAGCCACCCTTGGATTGCAAGTCCCAAACACCTCTTAGGAGGGTCTCAAAAAGAGCTGAAGGCGAAGGGGCCCCACTGGCCTCAACTCCAAATCGCCTCCTAGCTCCAGGGCTTCAGACTGAGCCGGAGGGCACCCAAGACCAGCGGAGGAGCGGGAGGAAAATCCCCAGCCCCAGCACCTCTTCCATGGCCAGGCCTAGGTCCAAAAGGGCAGGCTTGGCACCGCCGCCGCCCTCGTGAGCAGCTAATAGAGCGCCAGTGCTTGCTCGCGCTGCACCACGCGCTTCTTCTTCATGCGCCGGTTCTGGAACCAGATTTTGACCTGCTGGTCGCTGAGGTTTAGCCTGTTCGACAATTCCTTACGCTTCTGCCGGTTGATGAATTCATTGATCAGGAATTCGTTCTCCAGCTCCGCAATCTGCTGCTTTGTGTACGGTTTCCTCTTCTTGCGGGCCCTCCCCGGGGCCGCCCCCCACGGCAGGCCTGAAACAGATTCCCGACCGACCCGTGTCAGCCCTCTCAGATCAACTTCCCGCCCCAAGAGGTTTTTACCACTGCTGGCGATTCTCCTCCTCCCTGTACAACTGTCCCTGGCACCCCACCTCCCGTCCCCACCCAGACTGGCTCAGGGAGCATGGGCACCGTTTACCGTCGGGCAGCGAAGATCGCAGGCAAGAGGCCACCCCGGCCACTTGTACTGTCATGTTCAAGTTGAGCGGGCCTTTGGTGTCTTCCTTGAAGCCCGAGGCGCAGGGGGCCCCCTGGAGCAGGGTTGCAGAGCCTGGAACGGCTCGGCCCACACCCGCGTAGTCATACTTCGTGCCTTTGAGAGCCGAGTGAGCCAGGCTAGACTCGGGGGCGAAGGGCGGCCTAGTTCGGCTGCGTTCCTCAGATCCGGGGGCAGCATCAGGCGTATAGAACTTGACCTGTTCTTCGGGTCCGTCCTTGGCGCCTGGAGACTGCAGGCCAAGAGGCCCAGAGCCGGTCAAGTAGGGCTGGGAGAAGCCCCCAAAGGCAGAGGCGGTGGCAGGCTGCGCAGGGGTGCACGAGGCAGGCGTAGCGGCCCAGGGCAGCGCACCGCGAGGGTACGAAATGGGGGGAAGCGCGGCCAACTGGCTGCCATTGGGCCGCAGGTTGGAAAAGTAGAAAGAGTCCGGTGACTGCAAATTCAGAAGCGAGCCCACATAGCCAGCTCTGTAGAGACTGCGCTCACACATCTCCAACAAAGGGCCTCGGCTGTGCTCGCAACAGTATTTAGTTACAACCCGGAATAAGAGGACCGGCTCAGAGGATTGGACGAAACTTTGCCTGCAGGTTCTTCAAAGCCGGTCATTTCAGCACCGCCTACATCCCCCGACCCGTCCCCACCCCCCCTTCAGGGTATTATGATAACACCCGCAAAGTTGGACGGCGAAGGACTAGGCTGCCGGCTGAGCCAAAGCATGTAGAGGGAAGGCGAAGCCCTTGAGAGTTTCCAGGACCCTTTCAGAAGCCGGTGACATCGGGGTGGGGGTACCTTTGCCCAAGTGTCTCTTGGGAGTTTTCCTGACCTGGGTTGGTTTTGCCAGCTCATTTCCCGCCAGCTGCCTGGGCCGAACTTGCTTCTATCAACTTTAAGTTGCAATTCATACATTTTCCAGCAAGGGTACCTCTGGGCTTGACTGGAGAAGGTCTGGTAGGGCCACCGACTGCCCCTGGATCTCAGCAATGCCACTCTGAGACCAATCCCTTCTGTAGAAAGAACCTCACAAAAGGCCTCTGCCCAAGGCAGTAGGCAGCAAGGACCCATTCACTGCATGAACCTGGAGTCCCAGGCCACAGACAATACAAGAGGTTGATAAACAATGGAGAAAGCATCACACACTGCAAGCGTGACACCTAAGGACTCCTCACACTATTCCGGGTGTTTGTTCCCAGGAAGTATGCTCTTAATGTTGTCATCCAGGCTCCTCAGGTAATTCAGCTGTTCCAGGAGCCAATCTTGTGCGAAAGATGCATTCCTTTTATTTCCTGGATTCACCTTGGTGACTAATCCTTATAAGCCAGGAGTCCTGGATGTCCAGACAACCAGCCAGCTGCGTTCCTTGTGTCGGTGACTCCAGGCACGCGGGGCGGCTGCGGGTTCACTGGCCGGGCAAACAGGGAAGCAGGAAGCGTAGTAGCTGCTCCTTGGGTGCAGTAGTATGCTTAGCCCCCCCCCCCTTCCCCCGGCAGGCCCTTCTGGGTAGCCCAGAGGGACTAAGGCTTTTCTCCCCAAGAGACTGTGGGATGGACGCCCGCGCTAGCCCTGCAGCAGGACCCACGGTCCCTGAGCCAAGCTGGAATTGGTTAGGGCCCCCAGCTCTGGCAAGGAGACCACACAGGCGCCGCCGGAGGGCAAGGCTGACCACCTCGCTGAGACTTTATTGTGTGAGTTATGGCGACCAATTGGGCGGCTCTCAGGACGCAATCGGCCTCTTCCTCTGGCTCTGGGGCGCGCGCGGGGATGGGGTGGGGGTGGGGGGTGGGGGGTGGGGGGGTGGGGAGGGGAGTCTGGGGCTCCCGGGGCTCTACCAGAGTTTCCTCCCTCTCAGCCCTTGGGACAAGCACCCCACTCTCTGTTCTTTCCCGGGAGGTGGGAGAAGGCATAAGTTTCAGCTCCATTTTTGGAGGGCCAGGGGAACCCAGGCCTTAGATATCCGATAGCTTCCATTTTTGAAGAATTCTCCTTTCTCTACTGGAGTTTCCTTGGCCTGAAATTTCGGTTTTTAGGAGACCCAGCGCTCTCAGAGCCTCTGTCTCATGCACAGAGATTCCTAGGTAGTTACAGGCCTTAGAGTGTAACTTCAGACCCTGGCTGCCCTAGAGTTCCGTTTGCCTCTCAGGACTAAATACATAAAGGGACTATGTGGTGAACCGGGAAAGATAAGAACAGCTGCTCTCTCTCTCTCTCTCTCTCTCTCTCTCTCTCTCTCTCTCTCTCTCTCTTCCCCTCCCTCCCTCCCCCCCCTCTCTTTTTCTTCTTAAGAGGACCCACTTTATACCCCAAGTTTATAACTTTCGAGGTCTGGTAGGCAACGTTCTTTTCGAGAAGCTGGTGGCTGAAGCGGCAAGCTGGAAACCAGGAGGGAAGGTGCGGGGAGGAAAGGAGGCATGACTGGGAACATGGAAAGAAGAAAAAAACAGCATCTGGCTGAGGACCCGAGCGGCAGACTCTGCCAATGTCGCCGAACGCCCAGGAGATGGCGAGCGTGCTCCACGCCTGGAGAGGCGCCGCGGCACGGTCAAGATCAACAGTGAAGGGCGGTGGGGCGGGCTTGGGGTCGCCAGCGCTCGCTCGCGGTCACGGCCCGCTGCCAAGGCCCTCCGGACAGTCTCGGAAAGCCCAGGACTGTAGCGGCTGACCCAGACAGCGGAGCCAAGGGACCTGCCGCGAGGAAGCCTTGTGGCCGCGGTTTTTGTTTGTTTGTTTGACCTTCAGCCTCTGTCTCAACGCCTTTTTCACCTCTAGAATCACGAATCATCTGCCGATCTTGGTCCCCCACCCCAATCGCTAATAACATGCCAAGTTTCTTTCGGTCTCTAACTGAAGGAAAAGCCTTTCTCCAAACTCCCTTGGCCTTCCGGGCTCCCCACGGGCCTCGCTTTCAGGGCCTCAGCCACTTACCCTTGCTCTCCTCCTCCTGCAATCCCGAATATAAAAGGCACACATATAAATAACAAAGCCTTCATCTGTTCCTCATTTAGCCATCAATCCAAATACCACCAGAGAGCATTTGAGAGCAGTTTTAATCTTCAGCAAACCCCATTTCTCTTAGGCTCAGCGAAACTCACGTGGAACCGTGGACCGGCAGATGAAAGGAAAAACCTCCAGGCAATTCCCTCTACCCAATATAGGAAACCTGAGAAATGGACCTGGGAGATGAAGTGTGGCCCAGGAGACTAGAACCTACAAAAAAGGAAGGAGGGGACCGGGAGAACGGTGGTTGGAAGAAAACTAAGGCCCGTGTTTTGATGAAACACATCTTGTGAGCAAAATAGCGAAGACACTGAGTGGTGCTTCCCTAAGTGTGACCTCTGGGCTGATGCGACCTCCTTCTTCAGGGGTTTGTCCTCCATAGGTTGAACTGTGTTCTGTATCTAGACTTGTCTATCTCTGCCAGTACCTCCCCCTCCATAAACGAAGTTGGCCCCCGCAGTTCGCAGTAAAATGTGAAACATGTCAAGTTGGACCGGAGAAAACGAAAGTACTTCCCAACTTTCGGCCCCGTGTTTCCCCCCCACAGCCCTCAAGAGCCCTCCTACCACAAGAGTTTACATATTGTGTGAGCTTTCAGAAATCTGTTTAACTCACTTGAGCCTTAGAAAGTTAGCTCCTGCTAGATTGTAGTCATAACTAACAACAAGCAGCCTCACATTTTTACGGCCATTGCCCTGGATGGCAAAGAGAACTTAAAAAAAAAAAAAAAAATCCTGATGCCTAAAACTTGTGTCCAGCTGCTAAGATGTACAATAGTGGTTTCAGCTGTCAATTGCTGCCTGCAGTATGGGGTGTCTGAAATCTTTTTTGATTGCCAAATATGGATATGGCTTTCTCTAATTTCTGGGTCTTCCTAGTGAAGCTATATAATGGACTCTCTTCCAGGTCCCAAACGTCCCAGTGAGTTTGCCTTTATCCAAGCTCCCACATTCACATTGATTAAAAATAAATAAATAAATAAAAGTGTTAAATGAGTTGGTAATATTGAAAGAAACAAAATTTATTGAGTTTTTAATGAGTTGGTCTGATTTAAAAGACGATCATTTTAGCCATCACAGATAATATCCTCATTTTAAAACATCACTATTTGTGTTAGAGGGAGGTGGGCAGGAATAGAACATGGAAGTTCCAGAGACCAGAACTGGTGTTGTTTCCTTCATCTACAGATGCTGAGGAGAGCAAGGTTTTATAATAAATTAGAACAGTTTCTAGAGACTTCACAACCTTGAAAATCACAAACGTATGAAGACTCAGTGGAAACAGAGAGTTCTTTTTATTTATATCTCCCTAGGAGTAAAAAGTGATTTTTTTTTTTTTAATGCTCGAAGCACTGCTCACACACATTGCATCTACAAAAATAATCTCAGTCGCATAAATATGCAACATCTTGAAAGTAGTTCAGCATCACTTCCAGAAGCGTCTTTTCCCCTCTTGGTCCTTAGAGCTTCATATTTTAAAAAATGTGTTAGAGGTTTTCAAGCTCTGAGAGGCTCATGTGTTCAGACAATTAACTTCTTCATTAGGTTCTGGGTAGAAGTTCCCACCCATGGCCACACTGGCTCAGTCTCTTTCCAAGGACCAAGGAGATGGGCTCAGCTCCATTCCCACAGACCCGAGGATAGGGGCGAGTTTCTATGGTCTGGGAGTCACTCTGCTAATTGTAGGTATTTAAATAGCTGCATTTAGTGTAGGAGAAATGAAGGCATTCATGAGCACATTCTGTTTCCAGATTAAAAGATTACAGCTACAAGACATGCTACAAACACATGCAACAGCAAAAGAGATTGCCAAAGATAAGGAAGATTGTCTTCATTTCAATATTAATAAGGTAGCTGCTTTGAAAGCCAACATGTGCCTCCAACCTCCAAGTTTCAGACTTTCCCAGTGATCCTAAGTCATTGAGTGCCTAGAGCTGTTTCCACTCGCCTTAGGGAAACTTCTGAGAGCTAATGATTCAATTATACAATCACAGGGTATGAATGGCTGAAAGCAATTCTGGCTTAATGGATTATGAGCATAGTCAGTGCTGGAAACACATATAAAGTCCCGTTAAAAAAAATAAACCCCTAAATCCAACGGGCACTTCTGAAATTCATTTGGGGGGATTATTGAAAAATACTTCAAGTTTTTTTTTTTTTTTATACTGGCCTGGAGGGAGAAACAATGTTTTTAAAAAAATCTAAAAACAAGCCTAGACAAGAACAAAATCAATAATACGCAAGAAAGAAGCAGAATTACAAAGTCAAATTGGGTACCAAAAAGTTTTAGAGCCAGATAAAGGTTGAGAGAGAAAAACAAAAACAAAACCCAAAACGATTCACAATGCTTGCCATCCTAGGCAGGGAAGTGGGAAATTAAATACATTTTCAAGTCTTTCCAAAGGTATTTTTGGAGACAACCGAAAGCATTTGAAAGGTCTGTGGCCAACCTGGCCCATATCAGGAGACAGTGTCTTTGAGCTTGGAGACGATTTTCTTGTCCTTCACTCTGCGATTCTGAAACCAAATGGTTACTTGTCTCTCAGATAGGTTCGTGGCGGCCGAGAT